AGAGAGAGAGAGAGAGAGAGAGAGAGAGAGAGAGAGAGAGAGAGAGAGAGAGAGAGAGAGAGAGAGAGAGAGAGAGAGAGAGAGAGAGAGAGAGAGAGAGAGAGAGAGAGAGAGAGAGAGAGAGAGAGAGAGAGAGAGAGAGAGAGAGAGAGAGAGAGAGAGAGAGAGAGAGAGAGAGAGAGAGAGAGAGAGAGAGAGAGAGAGAGAGAGAGAGAGAGAGAGAGAGAGAGAGAGAGAGAGAGAGAGAGAGAGAGAGAGAGAGAGAGAGAGAGAGAGAGAGAGAGAGAGAGAGAGAGAGAGAGAGAGAGAGAGAGAGAGAGAGAGAGAGAGAGAGAGAGAGAGAGAGAGAGAGAGAGAGAGAGAGAGAGAGAGAGAGAGAGAGAGAGAGAGAGAGAGAGAGAGAGAGAGAGAGAGAGAGAGAGAGAGAGCAGAAAGTGCGGAGAACGCACCCATAGTGCTGTTCTGTTGGAACCATCGGGCAGCCTTTGCTCCTAGATGGAGGGAGAATGGCAATCAAAGTGGACGGACAAATTGGAACACACACAAGGAGGCCTAAGTATTGTACTGTATAGCGTTACTGCTATTGTCAATGATCAGAAGAATGGAAAGATAGTCCAATGCGTTCCTTTAGTCAGTCCAGTGTCAAGTCAAGTCGGCGGAATAGAGCGAGCTCCAGTGTGGGGAGCAAACTCTTTCCTAACAATCATCGCCGAAGTCGCTACCACTATATCGTACTGTTCCTTTACAGCTTTAGCACTAGGCATTTGCGGATAATGCCGGCAATAAAATTGGCAGAATTCGGTACTTTTTCTGGTAAGTTTCATGCATGTTTGGTATGTGGGTGAAGAAATGGAGCAGAATTCGAGGAATTGCCCGCCATAAGGTTTGTATGGTTCTGCCAATTTCACTGCTTTTCGAGCAGAATCTGCCACTTTTTCGAGCATTACCCCCCCCCCCCCTTGCCTATTTAGCACACTGTCAATTCTTTCTTTTTAAATTCGTTAGCCCTGCTTTTGTTATTCTTATGCTTGCGAACTTCATATGCAAAGTGCCCTCGATGTAATGACAGGGTGGTGCTGGTGGGGTATCCAAGTGGAAGATCGTCATTCAACACACACACACACACACACACACACACACACACACACACACACACACACACACACACACACACACACACACACACACACACACACACACACACACGTCTGCCTATCAAGAGTTGTATAGTTTCTATGCAACTCTATCAATAATATTATTAAAACACTACACATACAGAGAAGAAGCCACTGTCGCTGGAAACGTCTTGCCATCGTAAATGACTCTTCTCTGATCCGAGCTTTTTGTTACGATGTGATCCGATCAATAATATTATTTTTGAGGCATTGTATCAGATTTTTAAAAGTGTTGCTGGCTCAGGTCTCAATGTCTCATGCTGTGAGACATGCTTATATAGATGCATACACTCCCAACAAACAGACTATTCATCTACTGTCACTGTACATGTGTGATGCTGTTGATTTGACAGGTTTAGTGTGAGTCAGCACTCCATGTCTAACCCGGAGAAGTTGTAGGAAAAACGAAACATGCAAAGACCTGCGCCGCGGAAGACCGAAGACCGCGCACACGGGGAAGAGTGGAGAAATTCCGCTGCAGCCGAGTGCAGGCACTTCTCGGCTCAGTTGGTTGTCTTCCAGCGGAAGCAAGAAGGATAAGGACCAGTACTTGAGCGCTGCACTTACATGGGTTATAATGCGATGGTGCGACAGCAAAACGAACATAATCAACCTAGCAGCGTGGTGGACTCGTCTAATCTCATTCCCATCACTCCAGGACAATCGTGTACAGTGATGGGTCTGTAGATGGTGACAAGAGAGATTACTGCTTGCAGCTGATGGAACGCAAAGTACCTCTAGGTTACAGTACTCAGTAGCTGCATGCGTTAAATCAAGGGTCATAAACAAAATATCGCCTTCTTATTATTTTGACCTCACTGATTTCCCTGATACACTACTTGTAGTACCTAATGAAGTTGGTTGCTCTCACACTTGAGCTCACGCTTCTCCCGCTGACTCACGACTGCCATCCAGAGCACACCAGAAGTCCATCGAACCTTCCACTCTGCAAACCTGCCAGAAAGCGCCCCTCCCTGCTCAATACACAGTGCTTCCGGGAATTCACTCCTCATCAGTTGAGCTTGAGTAGGCCGAGGAAGACTGTGTCCGAAGAGCACCACTTACATGTACTGTACATGTACACGTACATGTACAGTACATGTAAGTACAGTGTATAATGATATAACCTAACACTGGTTAAAAACCATTATTAGATAAACCTTGTTATAGTTCACGCAATTGTTAGATTGACAGCATGAAACAAGATGGCGGACACTACTACTGTGTTTGGAAACAGTGACCTTACTACAACCTTCCGCGGTTGGCAGAGCCCCGGTCCCAGCGGACCATTTGAACCATATGGGATTATGGGTATCGCACCCGGTTCTGACCCTCATTATGCTAGGGGGGTTAGGAGACTACTCCTGATGTCGTCTTGTTTTCTTCGCTCTTTTCTTTAATTTGTATAAAGACTTCTTTTTCTTCCAACTTCTGCCCATGGCGTCCTTCTCTCAGCTCGTCAACTGTCAACAACTTCGAGTTATTTCCAAGTGGTACTGATGAAGGTAACCAATTACGGCAACGTGTAGCAAAATTGAAGCAGTTGCTCAGGTTTGTAGATGAAATTCAAGTCTTCTTGACCAGTACTAGTTTGCGTGGCAGCATCAACAGCAGGCAGGTTAACGAGTGGAGGTAACCAACGTGTAGCCGGGGTGTTCCGACGTGGTGAAGGCCTACCCATGGCCACGTCGGGACATCACCAACCCCGTCTACAGAGAGCACCTTCTCGCGACAGTGTCATGGTGATGACAAAAAACTGTTGACAGTTGACGAGCTGAGAGAAGGACGCCAGGGCAGAAGTTGGAAGAAAAATGAAAAAGAAAAAGAAGTCCTTATACAAGTTAAAGGAAAGAGCGAAGAAAACAAGACGACATCAGGAGTAGTCTCCTAACCCCCCCTAGCATAATGAGGGCCGGTCAGAACCGGGTGCGATACCCATAATCCCATATGGTTCAAATGGTCCGCAGGGACCGGGGCTCTGCCAACTGCGGAAGGTTGTAGTAAGGTCACTGTTTCCGAACACAGTGTTCGCCTCGGTCATTCGCAACGATGTCACAATGATGTCAGCACATGAGAAGTCCATTGAACCTTCCACTCGGCAAACTTGCAAGAAAAGTAGAAAAGACTACTACTTGCTGGTGTTCACGAGGGGTTTGTCGTGCTGGAAACGGAGCGATTCTGTAAATTTGTTTCCCTGGACAGTCACGCAGTCATTGGTGATGCCTGATGACGGTTTGGCGGCTTTGGCCTGGAGAGCACTCTCAATGATTTTTTAGATTGTGTATGTAATGGCTTAGGGATTGTTTAGCGGTGTCTTCTGTGAAGCCAGAATCGAGTGCCAGTGTGCAACGTCCATGTTGTGCTTGTAAGTATTAGTTGTACAACTTGTAGCTATCTGAATACCTGTTCACTGCAAGAGACCTACTGCAGAGTACTAGTACTGGGCGAGTTGCCTTCATTCAAAAGTGTGTTCAAGTCTACCCTGCACCGTCGTAAAAGGCGGACCAGGTACACCGCTGAGACTATAATAATAATATTATTATTATAGTGTACCCTTGCCAGGCTGTCGGGTAGTCACTAATAGGCGTGGTCAAAACGGTCAGGTCCACCATAGAGCGTGTATACTGTAGTATCAAAAGTGCATAACCAGCCACATAACCAGCCACATAACCAGCCACATAACCAGCCACATAACCAGCCACCTAATCAGCCCGGTTATATCCAGGTTTCAACAGTGCTCAACACCACAGGGGCGGAGCGTAACCACAAAGGTCAAAAAGAATGGTTTCACCAATTATAGAAACATACGTTGTAACGCTGCGTTTCATGCACGTAGCTAAATGCTAAGGCAATCATCAGACAACAGACGTTGTCTGATGATTGCCTTAGCACTTAGCTACATGTACGTGCATGAAACGCAGCGTTACAACGTATGTTTCTATAATTGGTGAAACCATTCTTTTTAACCAGCCCGGTTATGTATTCTTGCTAGTGTGTTTCGGCTCAACGACTCAGTACACTCAGTACAGGCTTCTAGCCGCATGTGAGGAAAACTCAACGGGCAGATTCTCAGGCTGTGTCACGGGCCTCAAAGAATCAAAGCTGTAAGCTACATTTTTCGTTAACTCAAGGCACACTGGAGACTGGGTGAAACTGAAAGAGAGCTAGAGAGACACGCATTATGGAAAGATGCTTCCCCAGGCATGCTGGGCACATCACAGCGGTATTACCTAGTCCTACATGATGTAAGTCCTTGGTGGTGGGATATTGTCATTATTGAACTGAACTACAGTCATGTGCATGATGATTGTACAGTATGTACCGTATTATCTCTAATATAAGCACACTCTCCAATAATAGCACGTCTCCAATAATAGAACACCTTGGGTCAGCATTCAAAAAATAAAGTGCCCAGTCTCCATTATAAGCACACTGTGTAAATTCATTATCTGTGCCGGCGAAAAAACCCTGAAATGTGTGTGTCTGACATGAATTTGGCTATGGCAACATGCCTATGAAATGAGGTTGAAATAATAATGGAACAGTCTCCAATAAAAGGAACGTCTCCTGCATGCACGGGGGAGGTACATTGAAAAAAATAAAGGACCGTGCTGTATTACTATGAATGGAGTCGTAAAAATTCTACTTCCTCACAGTGCACAAAAGTCATGCATGTGAAGTGCACCCCCGGCCCCCCCCCAAAAAAAATCCGTTACCATGGATATAGACAGACATCACGTGCGTGAGACACTTGAAAAAGTACGACGCACGGAGCTAGATTTTTGAGGAAATATTCATTGTTTGAGGACATAATAATTTATTGTTTCAGTCAAGCTATTTACTTTGCAATCAACTAAACTTTTGTCCGTTCTTAGTTTGATCTGAACTGTCTTTTGGAGAGGTCAATAGAGAAAAGAAGCTGATCTGGTGTAAGTTAGACTGATGCTGCGTGCACTGAGGCGGCACCAGCTGCCGGCTGGCCGTGCCAGCAACTCTATTTCGCTGATTTTCAACAGAAGATGGGATGTTCCACCGGAGAGGTACCGCAAGCTCCCTTACTCCATGCCATCGTATGTGACACCGGAGATGCAGCGTACGAAAGAGTTGCGCGAGTCCTGCTGGAAACAGCGCGATGCCTATATCGAGGAGCAACAAAAGTTGGCTGAGAATTTCGTTGAGAATTCCAAAGTGAGACAGGCGATCGTGAGAGCCAAGAAAGTGTCGAAGTTTTACTATTTTATGGGCGCCGTCACAGTAGGAGGCCTTGTGTATATCTGGTTCACGTGGAGGAAAGACAGAAAACAAGTGAAGGGAATGAGAGAAGCAGCGCTCAACACCCAGCTTTCTGATGAGGTGCCAGAAGAAATCGTAATTGATAAGTCAGACCTACCACGACCCTTGATTCTAGTTGGTCCGTCCGGCGAGCAGATGACAACCCTGATGAAGAGCTTGGTTCAAGGTCGTGAGAATCTGTTTGGTCTCCCAGTGCTCCATACGACACGTGATGCACGCGATTCAGAAGTAGAAGGTGAGTTGGTGTGTGTGTGTGTGTGTGTGTGTGTGTGTGTGTGTGTTTTGTCTCATGGCTTCGCCAGTTGTGTGGATTAGACAGTTATCTGGCGCTAGTATTGATCTGTTTCATTCAGATTCAGATCCGCTATCACTGCTATAAGAGAAAATCTGTGGGTGCACGTCCAGTGCATTTTGCAGATTTGCGTGTTTCCTTGCGACGGGAGTATACACGGTACATGTGTGTGTGTGTGTGTGTGTGTGCGCGCGCGCGCGCGCGTGCGTGCGTGGGTGTGCGCGCACGTGTGTGTGCGTGTGTCCTGCTTGGAGGCATGTTGTACTCCTGTGCGGTTCTAGCTACACTCCAGCAAGTGAGCGTATTTTGAAAACATAAACTTGTGGACCTGCACCAGATTTCTGTACGGATTTCTAGCGTACTGTCGAACGGCTGTTTGAATGCGCGAACGACCCCAAGCTCTCGTGATGTGGCAGGTGCGCGCGATCTGCACAACGCTGGCGCATCTACACTTCCGAGAGGCTGTTGTTCAGCTTGTTGAAGACACAAAAAACGTACAGAATTCTGGAACCTGGCTGAAATGCAACTTCGTTTGTAGCGAAAATAAAGTATGTGAGCAGGATAGTGAAGAGAAGCTTGATATCATCGAGAATATTTCCAAGGAATTGACATTGATAAAAATTGCTGCAAACCTCTCACCTGAAATCTTGAGGTTGCCAAGTGAGCGATGGAGCAGCTTTCTGGTCTGCACTATTTCTCGGTTTTCAGTCTCTTCAAACGGCTAATTTTAGCAACTTAAGCAAAAGGAGTGTTTTCGCTGAAGTTTTGCCACGCCAGTCGAAAATTTGCATGTACAGTACAGTACAAGTCATCCTTCTTTGTAAAGTCTGAAACTCGTATTGCTAAATATTTCATCGTGAATTGGTCCAGATTCAGAAAACGCTAAATATTTTACCCGCTAAAATTCGCCATTCTACAGTACTCCGGTACATGTGCAGTGAAACCTGACCACACGGTGAAACCCGTCTAAGCCGACCCCTCAATGGACCTTCAATATGTGGCCTCCTTATCCATGTTCATTTTATAATTTTGTAGAAATGATACCCCGGTTGTTGTTAGTCCTCTGGGGACGGCTGGCCACCCTTGCAGAGTGGCGGCCTTGACACGTTTTACTGGATTGCCTTCTTCTGCCCAGGTTATGGCATGAGTAATTGGGTATGCTTTTTATTCGCCGTATTTTCCGGAGTATCAGCCGCACTTTGAACACTCGAAATTTACACAAAGGAGGGGGGGGGGGGGTGGGGATGCGGTTTATACTCCGATGATCAAATTAATGGTGATACATATTAAATAGGGTAGATGTCTGTATTACGTGGCAAAAAAATGGGTGTGCAGCTTATACTCCAGTGTGGCTTATTCTCCAGAAACTACGGTAGCTGCTGTTACTACATCTTTAGGGGTCGTCCATAATTATCGAACTTTTTTCACGAAACGAAATAATTTCGTTATGGGGTGGGAGGGGTTGACCAATTTCGTTTCAGAAAACTTCGATACATGTACATGGCCATAGGAGCAGTGACACCCTTGCGACTTTTGTTGTATATGCATGTATATGTCAACAATTTTTACGTTCTGAAGGGGAGGGAGGGAGGGGTTGGGTCAAAACTAAAATAATTCGTTTCGTGAAAAACGTTCGATATTTACGGACGGCCCCTTATCTTGTGTTGCTACTCTGACTGTTTCTTTGACTGCTTTGGCTATGGCTGTGGCTACTTTGGCGGTTTCTGCTTGTTTTGCTGCTCACTTCTCAGGCGAGGAATTTTGGTTTGCACCGCGAGCTGCCCTGGAGCAAGGTGTGTACTCCGGAGCGTTTGTCAGCCACGGTAATGTTCGCGTGGGTGACAAGAGGTTTGGCTATGGTCTGAGCAAGGGATCCATAGCTGATGTGCGCCTCTCAGGCCGCGTGTGTCTCTTGAATCTGGATGTTGAGGTGAGTCCGACTGTGTAGCTTTTGCCAGTTTTCGAACAGTAGGTGTAGACGATTGTAGAAGTGAGTGAGATAAAGTGTGTGTGTGTGCGTGTGCGTGTGTGCACATGATTGTGCTTGTTTGTTTGTGGATATGTATGGCATATTGTAGGTGGGTATGTAATAAAGGTATGAAATACAGTGCGATAGCTACAGGTACATGGCACTGCAAGGCCCTCATATCTCGCTTTTTGCATTTGATTTTCGGTTGAACAACAGCTCTCTCACTCCTTGTGCACTCGGGCTCTGCATTGTACCGTATCTCCCCGAATATTTGTCAAACCTTTTTACACTAAACGTCAAGGGCAAAGAAAGGGGTACGACTGACAATCGAGTGTGAAACCTTACTTATGTGAATAAATTGAAACAATATGGCTCAAACCTGAAAGTGGGGTGGGACCTATAATTGAGGAAATGCGATATTTATTACTGAGAACGATCAGTTGTAGGTTCGACTCCATAACCTCCACTGCATCCTGTGACATCATCCTATGACATCATTCTGTTTACCCTGCAGAGGATAATGCTACTGTACGTTCATGGGTGCAGCTTTACCTTATACTGTACTTGTTGTGTTGCCCTGTGTACGATGTATGCACATGTTTGATGTACCTGTCTTGTTCTTTTCTTCTTCTTCTTTTTTGCCGTTCAGCACGCCGACGTGGTCAGCAAAACAGACCTTCGGCCAATCGTCGTGTTGGTGTCGCCAGCCAGCCCCGCTGCTGCGTTACCTGAAGACGTGGCAGCGGCGAAGAAGGCCGGCAAGCTGTTCCAGCTGGAGATCACGCTGGGAGACGGGCAGTCGTCGCTGGATGCAGCGCGGGACAACGTGCTCACCCTGCTGGCCGAGCAGTTCACGCTCGCCACGAGAACACAGCGCATCATCAGCGGCGAGCATACACAAGCAGCCAGTGCGCATAGTGAGGTCGCCGAAACCCCCCGCCCGGACAGTGAACAAACAACACCGAATGAACAGAGCCAGCCCAGTACTACTAGTCAAACCACTTAAGATTTTATCGCATTCCTTATGAATAGTTATTATTGCGACCATGCGTTTGAAAAACAAAACTTTTGAACTGATGCGGCCACTGTTTTTTGCTGAGTGGTGCATGCTTGTGTGCATAGTGGAGTGAATACTGTAATTCCGCGCATATAAGCCCATGGGCTTATATGGGAAACAATGCAGTTTGGGGATAAAATATCCAGTAAAACATGTTCGTTTTTTAGCCCATGGGCCAATATTCGAGTTCTGAAGGTTCACGAAAAAGTACAAGTACGTGCACATGGTCAGTCTACCATACTCTACTGGTAAACTGCACTGACCTGCTGTACCATGTCCATGGTAGGAAGAGTCCTTTTTGTGAAAAATTCTACTTGACACGTGATTTGCTTTTGTGTCTGTTTATTAGCCCATGGGCTTATAAACGGAGGTGGGCTTATATCCGGGTATAGGCCCATGGGCTTATATGTGCGGGATTACGGTAAGTGTTTGCCATAGCGGCGGAGTGCTGGTTTGATGGCAATATTGTAGTTTATGTAGCCATTGCATTGCTAAGGTACTCGTACTGGCCACTTGCCATCCTTTCACCCTGTGGCGATGTCATGTCCATGCTCCTTCCTCTCCCCTCTCGCAATCTTCTCATGACATTAGTGAGGTTCTGCTCTACGCAAAACCGTAGAGAAATCACATAGAGAACAGGTGGCAGGGTTAAGTCTATGGCTTGCGTGTTTTGGGTCCAGGTTTCTACGTGGAGATGAGATTCCCTACGTTGTGGCACACGCACATGAAGTAAATGCGTACGGACCTCCTGCGTATCATTAATATTATTTTTGAATTAACGAGAAAGCCCCCCCCCCCCCCCCCCCCCCGCGCACACACACACCCTCCGTTATGCTCAAATAATTATAATATTGCAAAGGAGATACCGGCGAGAGAGGACGACAGAACATTTGCATGTGAATCTTCTCTATTCTGGCAACAAGCTCAAGAAAATTAATACAGTCAACGTGGCCCGAACTCACTGTCGTAACGTTAGAATCCAGATTATGCTACCGGTATAGTTAACAGAACATGGATGGCTACAATTGTACATCAAGACATACAATATGTAGACTGAGAAAGTGACAATCATCATAAGGCGATGACGCATGTTGGAAATTCCCTAGTAAAATAAGAATAAAAATAAAACGTTGTGGGGAGTTGTACTACGTGGCACAACACAGAGAAACCTTCAGAACGACAAGTTGCCAACTATCCGCTAGAGATTATTGAATACCAAGACAGGTATCGGAACCCCTGCATGCCACAGCCGACATGACTGGTGGGCAGCCACACCCACGCACATGAAGAGACAGCTCTCCTTCACATGGATGGGGGGGGGGGGTAGTGTGCGATGCAATACGTTGTGAACAGCCCTAGTGGCTGGGGTAAGGACACACGTAAGGCCCGGTTAGCCTGTACCGCGTGTTCAGTGAAACGGAACCTGCTAACAGTGTGAGCTAGCTGGCATTTGTCTGAGCGAGTCAGACTGCTAGCTGGCATTTGTCTGAGCAAGTCAGGCTGCTAGCTGGCATTTGTCTGAGCGAGTCAGGCTGCTAGCTGGCATTTGTCTGAGCGAGTCAGGCTGCTAGCTGGCATTTGTCTGAGCGAGTCAGGCTGCTAGCTGGCATTTGTCTGAGCGAGTCAGGCTGCTAGCTGGCATTTGTCTGAGCGAGTCAGGCTGCTAGCTGGCATTTGTCTGAGCGAGTCAGGCTGCTAGCTGGCATTTGTCTGAGCGAGTCAGGCTGCTAGCTGGCATTTGTCTGAGCGAGTCAGGCTGCTAGCTGGCATTTGTCTGAGCGAGTCAGGCTGCTAGCTGGCATTTGTCTGAGCGAGTCAGGCTGCTAGCTGGCATTTGTCTGAGCGAGTCAGGCTGCTAGCTGGCATTTGTCTGAGCGAGTCAGGCTGCTAGCTGGCATTTGTCTGAGCGAGTCAGGCTGCTAGCTGGCATTTGTCTGAGCGAGTCAGGCTGCTAGCTGGCATTTGTCTGAGCGAGTCAGGCTGCTAGCTGGCATTTGTCTGAGCGAGTTAGGCTGTATGCTGGCCGCATGATTTGTCTGAGCTAAGCATACAGCATGACATCAAGATGAGTTTGCGACCTTGATCGCTGATCAATTTTAGGTCAAACAGGCAGTGGATGCCATCATATCACCTACTACTACAAATTCATGTCATTACAGTATGGAGGGGAATACTCGCATTCTCTTTGGCATCCACTTCAATTACGGAACTTAGCATATCGCTCACCACTCCAGGAACTGACCCTTCAAGTTCATGAATTTGCCATTGGTGTCGGCGTCTAGACGCAACGCAACCTCCAGGATTCCGGCTACTGATTCTGCCGGTGACAGTGGTGCGGCAGGGCCACCCATGTCCGTACGCACGTGTCCCGGACACATCAGCAGTGTCGCCACCCCTGCGTCGGTCAGCTCCTCGCACATCAGACTGCCGAGCATGTTCAGTGCCGCTTAACTTGCCTTGTAGGAATACATTCGCCAGTTCTCCTCTTTGGTGCCGATCGAACCGGAGAACGAGGAAATGTGGACCACGGCCGCCCGCTTCCAGCCAAACTGTTCAGCTTTGTTTACCACTGCTGCCTGCTTGAGAAGGGGCATCAGTGCTTGCGTCATCAGCACAGGCCCCACTGAATTCACACGGTAGTGATTCATCATTTCGGCAGCAGTGAGCTGCTCCATGCGGTCTGTCTCCACGCACACTGCACTGTTATTGAAAAGAACGTTCAGACCAGCTTCACCCACGACGGAGCGCACAGTCCGTTGTGCCGACGCAATGCTCGCCTCGTCCGTCACGTCTAGTTGTACGAGATGAATGCGTCCCTGTCCCTTCTCCGTCGCCAGCTTCTCCAGGGCACTAGTGGACTCTGTGCCGAGCGGCGAGCGATGCGTGGCGAATATGTGGTCCGGGCGCGGCTCGGAGGTGAGCAATTGACGGACAATCTCAAATCCTATGCCACGGTTTGTACCAGTAACCAGGACATTGCGGAGAGAAGCTGCAGCCATGGCTAGGACTTATACTAGCTCCGGTAAGACCGTGCCTTGCCAGAATTCTAGAAGGGATATGTGTGGTTACTTCATTCAAGTAGGGTTCGCCATGCAAAGGCAAAACAGTAAACATTTTGAGCAAAATAGGGCAAAAATACTTGCTATTTTTTGTTTACCAGTATACTCGCCGTCGCACGTGACCCGGGCCGGCGGGTAGCTAGTACTGTAGTACTACTAGTAGGCCCAGACAGATTCTGCTCCGGAGCTCCGGTCGCCTCGATATTTTGCGGCAAAATGTTGCTGCGAAATCTTCGATACTTTGCCGAGCCTGGCACAAGAAACTCGATATTTTGCTCCATTTTGCTCCGGAAAAACGTATATTATATCCACTTCCCGTACAATCCCGTACAACGTTTCATAAAAATCGCAGGGTCGGTTTCTCAACACGGGTTTCAACGCACGTGTCCCTGAGTTCTTCCAAAATCAAGTTGATCCACAGTGAATCCCAGAGATATTTCAGTGACATAATCTCATCCTGGGCAGTGTATCCTGCTGAACGGGTAAGAAACAAGGAAATCCAAGTGTCAGGCATCAATTTTACCCAACATCTCGATATTTTCAAAGTGTTAGGAAATTTGAGGACACATGCCACGTAATGCTCTTTTCTCTCCGAAACTCAACACTTGCAAGCCAGATATGAAAGAAAGAACAAATCATCAGTCACACCACCGGCACTCGAACCAGGGACCTTGCTATTCGCGAGCAATGCTCTAACCAACTGAGCTACAGTATGACTCTTATCCACAGATATTGATTGATCGAAGAAGGATAGATTTACCATCACTGTGGATAAGAGTCATACTGTAGCTCAGTTGGTTAGAGCATTGCTCGCGAATAGCAAGGTCCCTGGTTCGAGTCCCGGTGGTGGGACTGATGATTTGTTCTTTCTTATCTGGCTTGCAAGTGTTGATTTTCAGAGAGAAAAGAGCGTTACGTGGCATGTGGCCTCAAATTTCCTAACACTTTGAAAATTCTCTGTGAAGTCCAAATTTGAAATTGCAATCTCGATATTTTGCTCCGATTTTGCCGGCGATTTCCGCTCTTTCAATTCTTCGATATTTTGCCGAAAGAATTGCCGGCAGGATCTGTCTGGACCTAGCGGGTAGGCCCAGGCCGGCCAGACAGCTAGTACATGTATATGACATATCCTGCCAGAAGTTCTTTTGGCAAAATATCGAAAAAAGAGCGGAAATTGCCGGCAAAATCAGAGCAAAATATCAACAACGGTTGGGTAAAATCGATGCCTGATACTTGGATTTCCCTGTTTCTTACCCGTTCAGCAGGATACACTGCCCAGGACGAGATCATGCCATTGTCACCGAAATATCACTGGGATTCACTATGGATCGAAATGATTCTGGAAGAACTCGTGTTGAGAAACCGACCCTGCAATTTTTATGAAACGTTGTACGGGATTGATAAATATGGTGGTAAAGACACACCTGGCAATATGGCGGTAAACACACGCCTGCCCATACACGCTCTCTAGGCTGCAAAGTTCTCACCATATTTATCAACCATAAATACAGCTGCAGTGGTGTCTTCAACTTCATTCTCCCGAGTCAAGCTCCGTATGAAGACATCCAGGAAGAAGATTGCCTGATGAGTCCAGCGGGGACGAAACGTACGTCGCAATCGAGCTATGTCGTTGCTGTGTCATCATCTATGTGCCATGCGCTACTTGATGTACCAGCCTGCTATGCCGGATACCGCCACCATGCATCGACCAGGCGCCAGGCGCGAACTGATGGTGGTGGTGGTGAGAAGGAGAGCTCTGTGCCAGAACTTTGCAGCCTAGAGAGCGTGTGTGGGCAGGCGTGTGTTTACCGCCATATTGCCAGGTGTGTCTTTACCACCATATTTATCAACCATAAATACAGCTGCAGTGGTGTCTTCAACTTCGTTGTACGGGATTGTACGGGAAATGGATAAAATACGCTTTTTCCGGAGCAAAATGGAGCAAAGTATCGAGTTTCTTGTGCCAGGCTCGGCAAAATATGGAAGATTTCGCAGCAACATTTTGCGGCAAGAAATCGAGGCGAGACTGGGAGCCGCGGCAGAGTCTGCCTGGCCGGGCCTAACGCGGGGCGCAAATATTTGCAAAGAAACCTGCGACAAGCATTATAGACATTGGACTATAAAAAATATATAACATTATAACTTAATTACTTGCTCTGATGAAGCCTCAGCACACACGCCTAGCTGAGTTTTATGGGTTACCAAAGACTCATAAACGGGACGTTCCCTTGTGGCCGGTTGTAGCAGCGTATGATACCCCAACGACTGCTAGATTAATCATACTGGAGAGGATATTAAACCAGCTCCTTCCATTCGTACCGGCATACATTCCCAACACCCAGGATGCGTTAGAAAGATTTTTAAAAGCGCACGCTTGCAACGTTGGACACATCGACCAACACTCCAATAGTGCTATGCAGTGGGTGTAGTGGGTCTATATCCCTCTATTCCAATCCAAGAGGGAATTGAGTGTGTCATCTCCTTTCTGCAGCAACACCATGCCGATATTGATCTCCTGGGACTATCTTTCCCTGATATCAAGGACCTTCTGTTATTTGTCCTTACTCACAATTTTTTCGTTTTGGAGATCAAGTCTACAGGCAGAAGGAAGGTGTTGCCATGGGCAACCAACTCGCTCCTCCATTTGCTATTGTCTTCATGCACTGCGTCGAGACCCGTATGTTGGAGACCGCCACCCTCCAGCCATCTCTCTATGCAAGGTACATCGACGATACAATTTTAATCTATTGCTCAGCTGCTCTACAGGTATTCATTGCCCACTGCAATAGCCAGCACCCCAACATCAAGTTCACTTACGAAAGCAGTGAAAATGGACCGGTTCCATTCCTTGACGTTCGCTTTGAGGTTACCCCTGACGACGGCACCATTACACACCGCCTGTACAGGAAGCCTAGTGACAGTGGCGTCAACGTGGACTTTCATTCCCAAGTGCCTCGCTCCGTCAAGTATGCGGTCGGTAAGCAGCACTTCGTCAGAGCTCGAAAGAATTCGTTCTCACCGGCACAAGCCTGTGAGAGTCTCGGTATGACGAAGAAATTGCTGAGAAGGATCAACTATCCCGAAGCAATCATCGAGGAGATTTCTCAGAAAAGTTGCCACACCGCCCAATCACGCGAGCCAAAAAAGATGCCGCTATACTGAAGCTACTACCCTTTCGCTCAGAAGACATTCAGCGGAAGGCGAAGCATTTAGTCGAGCGCTCGGGGTTCCCGGTGAATGTTGTGTCTGAACACACACTCAACCTAAAAGATGCCCTCGTGAAGTCAGCGCTGAATCCATCGAAGTGCAGCATGACACAAGAACGAGTGAGGCGCCGAGAACAGCGGACGCGAGGAAGACCGCTCAACCCCCGCATCTCATGCTCCTCTGGTTTGCCGAGCTGCATGTGTCCCCCGGCATTATTATTCTATAATAGGGAGGTTTCGCTCTACGGAATTACGTATGAAAATAACGTAGGAACTGCACGGAATTTTCATACGTAAAAATCAGAGCTGCTGGGTTTCGCTCTACGTGATTTATCCACGACGGCTAAACGTGAGTTGTTGCTTTGGAGACGCATTGGCTGCATGCGCCCACCGCATGCACCATGAACCGAAACCGGGTTTTCCATCTTATTTTGCACGTGGTGTACGGTGTGTGTACCTTGTGTTTCGCGCGGCTTGAACGTTGCCATGGTCAAATGCGGAAAATGCGAAAACATATTTCAAAAAGTCCTACGGAGGACCCAACGTAGGAAAGAGCTTTCCTACGGAAATCCGCAGAGATATTTACGTATGAAAGCTGCCCTCGCTCCCCGGCGCGTACGACATACGGATTTTCATACGTAATTACGTAGAGCGAAACCTCCCTTATGATGAAGTGTGCACTGTGTCGGAAGCGGTATGTCGGTGAGACCCTCAGGGTCGCAAGAGACAGGTTCGAGGAACACCACTATGAAGCATGTCACAGGATGCTATTGCTTGACAAACCGTGGGGTAAACACATGGCTACTGATCACCAGCAGCACGGAGCCATCAAGAGCACAGATGTGATTTTCATTGAGGCCCCAAGTACTGGCCGTGGAGACACGGATGAACAGAAGGAAAATTAGGGAGTCCATCGAGATTCGAGAGCGTCGTCCGGAGATCAATATCTCCTTCGGATGACCATTGAAGGCGCTCAGACCCTCAGGGTCGCAAGAGACAGGTTCGAGGAACACCACTATGAAGCACGTCACAGGATGCTATTGCTTGACAAACCGTGGGGTAAACACATGGCTACTGATCACCAGCAGCACGGAGCCATCAAGAGCACAGATGTGATTTTCATTGAGGCCCCAAGTACTGGCCGTGGAGACACGGATGAACAGAAGGAAAATTAGGGAGTCCATCGAGATTCGAGAGCGTCGTCCGGAGATCAATATCTCCTTCGGATGACCATTGAAGGCGCTAGCATCCTCACAGTGAAACTGCTAAATCTTGCTGTGTCTGTGCAGGTTTGTACACACAATGATCGTGGTATACACCTTCGTACACACATTTCCTGCGCTTTATCTGCTGAGCTGTTGCATACCCACTTTTTCAGCGCATTTCTCCTTGTTGGTTGTACATGCAAATTCAGACACTCAATTGCATACGGCGATTGTGTTTTTTTTACATACGCTCTCGCTTGCTTTCGTTGTAAAAGGCCACGTGTGCGTACTACAATGTGTACAAAAATGATTTTTACCCGCCATATACGCGCAAAGGTCACATTTGGATCCGTTGGATCCGGTCAACCCTGCTCCCCGAGGTGGGTTGACTTTCGACCAATCGAAAGGGTGCGAATCCAGTGGACCCGGTGGATCGGGATCCCGATCCTACCAATCGAACATGCACTGATGCTATGCACAAGCAAGACTAAGAGCTCTCAACGACAATCCAAAATTATCGAAAAATAAATACGAAACGAAAATGTACATTGACAGGGTCCAAAGTTCAAAGATCAAAGGTCACCACAGGCCCAGTAAGTCCTGGAACTGACTGAA